GACCCCAGTGACCAGAGCCTCCCACAGAGCCCACTCTGTAAGGTTCCACCGCCTTCCAGGGGTGCATTGGAGGACCAAGCCTTCCACATGTGGGGCATTCTATATCAAAGACACTGCAAGTAAAATGACATTTTTGAGAGGGAGAGACACATTATTTTTATTACAGTTTGTTGTTATAGTAGTTTTATTTAATAATTAATTTATTACTATGCTATAAATTAAACTTTGTCATAGGTATGTATGCCTAGGAACAAAGCAGTATACATGGTGTTCAGTGCTATCCATGGTTTCAGATATTGACTGGTGTTCTTAGAATGTGTCCCCTGTTGATCAGGGAGCCTTCTGCAGTCATAAGGCAGCGTTTTTTCTTGTATGGAATGCGTCTTTCTCTTAAGACCTTCAACCTGTTGGATGAGGCCCTTTCACATGATCAAAGACAATTTCCTGTCCTGAAATTCAGCTAATTTCAGTTGTTACCACAGCTAAAAAATAATCTTCTAATTTCAGCAACATTGAAATTAGTGTTTAATTGAATAATGGGGAAAATAGCCAAGTTGACATATAACATGAACATCAGAGTATGTAAAGCAGGAAAGGGAAGCTGGATTCCCAAGGTCCACTCTTGCGGTATGGTGAAGTGGGAGGGGAAACGTGTATGTTGACATTGGAGCTGTAATTCTCAGTCTTGGGAGGAATGAAGTAATGGTGCTCAGCTGGAACACATAAATCAATTCAGATTGTCTAAAGAGTTTTCTATTAAAAAATAAATTCTGGCATTTCTAGGCTGAAGGAAGATAGCCTTTCGGAGAAGGAGGTGGCAACAGCTCTGGATTGCAAAATCCAAATGGTAAAATGCATTTGGCTGGAAGACTAAAGACAGGAAAAGCTCCCTCTTAGACTATAGCTTATCTGAAAGACCATAATGAATTCATTAGCATTTTTTTGAAACTTGAAGGAAGGAGATCTTAATAAATATCAGTGGAGTCAAAAGGTAGGGAATGGAGATTAATCACATGGAGACCATTATTACTGATTTAAGATGTGTAAAACATTGTTATTGACTACAGTATGTTGATTGGCTTATCATGATGTATTGGTAAATTTAAAAATGTTTATTAAAGATTCACTCAGGACTTTATTTCCTTAAGCCTGTTCTTCTCAAAATGTCTTACTATTCTACCAGAGGGATTTTTCAGGAACCTAATCATCTAGATTTGGGAAAGATTCTGATATATATATATATATATATATATATATTAAATATGTATCATATATATTATATGATATATATGTATATATGAACAAAGCATTAGAATTCATCATTGTGTATATGATAGAGTATGTCTAATGGGATATTGGGGAAGATTTATGGTTTAATTATTAATACATTAGCATTATTATTAACACATCTAACAAAATTCATTTTCTTTCAGTAAAAGACAACCATTAGCCTTTTCTAAACTAAGCGCGTCAACTCTGGTAGTTTAAGTGTACTTTTTAGTAGTCACGCAGTGCTGCTCCTAACAGTATCCTATTGGTGTCTTACCTCTCCAGCTGATTCTGTTGGTTTTCTTGTTTTAATAAAAGCAAAATCCCAGAATAATTGCTTTCTTCATCTTCTTATATAAACATTACTTTCAGAAAACATCACTTTCTTGGCTGTCATTGAGACTGGTTTCTGTAGTTATAATGAACATCTGATACAGGAGGGGCCAATAACATCTAAAGCCTCCTGGTAAAAGTCTCAGTTTCTGCTTGGTACAAGGACTTATGCTGTCAGAAGCCTGTGCACTTTTTGTAAACTTTTGTTCTGGTTAAAAATTTAAAAGGGAGCTACTTGCAATGTCGTTAGCATTAACTTAAGCTATAGTAGGCCTATAAAGCAATCATTGGGATGCTATTAAAAGTATATGAATAATAAAACAGCTGCAATAAGGAAAGTTTCAGAAGAGTAACATGGCCTTCGTAGCCCCCCTTTGTGTGGGTGAGTTGGCTGTATTCTAGCAAGGGCAATAAATCATTATTTGAGATTTAGAAAATCTCAACCCTATCTTTTCTTTTCTTTCTTTTTTTTTTTTTTTTCTTATTAGGGGTAAAGGTTGTGGGCCATTTTCTGGGTTGTAAATGACAACAGAGCACAGTTCAAGAATATTCCTAAGAAATCATTGAGAGCTACTTCGTATATATGAGATATTTACAAAGGTGAAAGTTTTATGAGGTTGTTTTATTGGTAACAATCAAGGTCACTAATGGTCCACGCCTGTGTAAGGTATTATGTGGGGTGTGGTAGAAAAACTTTGTGTTTTTGGAGCAAAGCAACTCCAGATTTAGTCTAGGTGCTGCTACTACTAAGGAGTTTTGAAACCTTGGATAAATTACTTAAATTCCCTTAAAAGGGAATTTCCCTCACAAGTTCCTCCTCTTGTAAAGTGAGATTAATAAACAATGCCTATTTTGAGGAGTTACTGAGTTAATTCCTGAAGATAATTTTTATAAGATATATATAAAGCACCTAACTAGTAACATGTTAGTTCCTTTCCTCCTTCTTAATGTGATCTGCAATCTCGTAAAGTGTCTCTGATATTTCCTTGGTATCACTATTTAGTGATGTCTTCTTTCATGGCTGTGAAACACAGAGATGCTTGAGACCACAAATGAATACATGTTCTTCAGAGGTTTTAGAAAGTAAAAGAAAGCTGCATCAATCAAGAGTCTTGGGATCCTTAGAGGAATTCTATCAAAGCAGCTTCTTTTGCTTTCATTACAAGTATACGTGTCTGTTTCTTTCCTTTTTGTAAGAATATTTTTGGTTTAAGTCTTGTCTTGATTAACTGCTTTGAAAATAAAGACGCAATGTAATAAATGTTGTTATTCTCTTATTATTTGACTATGAAAATGTTTTATTTTTTCATAAAATAAAAAGAAAAAAATTAAAAAATATATAACCAAGGTAAAAAAAAAATTTGTCCTCTAGTATCCAGGTTGGGTTCGTTCTAGGAATCCCTGTAAATACCAAAGTCTGCAAGTGCTCCAATCCCTCATATAGAAATGTTATTTGTAAATGACCCTTGTATATCTGCCCACATACTTTAAATCATCTCTGGACTACTTGGAATAGCAGGTACAGTGTAAGTGGTAAGTAAATAGTTACACTGTATTGTTTAGGGGAGAATGACGAGGTAAATTGTCTGCACATGTTCCACAGAGGTGCAGTCATTGCAGGCATAACTATGCAGTACATGCCAGCAACAGTGGTTTGTTGAATCCACTGAGAGGTGGCTACAGAGGGCTGACTCATATATATATATCTATATACATATGTATAGAGAAGGACATATCGGTAGATAGCATACATTTGGAAAACTGCACATATTATAACTACACAGCAACTAAGTGATCACAGTGTAAATGCTTCTGTAATTACCACTCAGAAAAAGTTGTAGATCTTTGCCAGCACCCCTAAAACTCCCTAATGTTATTCCCAATTGTTATCACTTTCCTCTCCCCAGATAATCACCACTTTGAACCTAATAAAATTGAAGTATACTATTTTTATGATTGCTTTCTTTCACTCAACTTTTAAAAAATGAAATTCTTTCATGTTGTTATGAGCATTTCAGTTGTACTGTCTGTGCCACACTTAGTATAGACAATGTTTAAATTTCAGTTATTCTGATAGGCAGGCAGTCGTGTCTTGTCGTGTTTTTTGTAATGATCAATAAGGTTAAACACCTTTAACTTGTTTACCGATCTCTCAGATTTTTTCTTTCTCTTTCCTTCCCTCTCACTCTTTCCCTTCCACATTCACTGGACACACATATATTTCAGGTTCTGTGCTACCACCTTGCAGGCCTACTGTTAGCCTGAACTAGTGCTATTAATAAGATTGAAAATAACTGACTCAGACCGCCTGGCTCTGGGGAAAAAACTGGCCGAGAGTTGCCATCTCCTGGGTCTACTTTCTGGTCTGCCTGCCCTTGTGAACTCCGTGGTTTTTGTGCGATGTCTTTACCACATGTGCTCTTTCTTGTAAAATAAATTTAAAACAATTTCTAAGGCTGCTTTTTGAGATTGCACACACTTTGGCAGAACATTCACCATGCCTTTTCTGTCTGTTGAACATTCTGCCCCAAGAGGTCTGGAATTGCAAAGAATGAGACCCAGAACCATTTTGGTGTGGGTCTAGCCCATCTCCTAATCTTGCAGACAAGGGACGCAGGTGGTTTGGAGAACTGTGTGATGAACACAAAAATGAAGAAATCGGTGACTGTCTGAATCTGAGGTCATATCAGCCAGAGTAAAAACTGAAGACGCCTGGAAATGAAGATCCTGACTATATGTATTCAAAGTGCACTAACACTATTTTTCTTGACCCTGTTCTTCCCTGACCCCTGTATGTTCAAGGAAGATTTGAGGACTTCACAGACCAAGTGGACCTAGAGTCTCTTACTCTCCAGCAAAAGAACAGTGGCCAGAGATGGGCAGGGTTACAAGGGCTTCACGGCCACTTGCCTCCTCCCTAGGCCCCACTCTGCTCCTTCACCATGGCATTTAGTCTCAGCTCTGTCACTGTCTCACAGAACCAAATTGACTCAGTTGAGTTTTCAAAAAAAGTGTAAGTTTTTTAAATTTGTGGATATTTTGTCTTTACATCAAATTAATACCATAGAAAAATATTCACACCATCATTCTTTTCTGTGCAACAAATTTTAAGATATACATAAATGTACTGTACATCTTTAGCAATTAATGAAAGTAGTTCCCTGTGAGGGGTATTTAACTTTGTTTAGTTTTCCTGTAGCAAAACGAGTAACATCCTGTTAGTTAACTCTGTATGTATAAGTCCACTTTTAAAAAACACTTTTATTATGGAAAACCTCAAACACACACAAAAGTGGAAGGAATAGAATAAATCCCCACGAGTCCATGAATTAATATCAGCAATTGCCAAAACATGGCTAATCTCCTGTCATCTATACTGTTCCATTGACCTCTTCCAGGTGTTTGAAGCAAATCCTAGGTATCCAGGCACTTGAATCTTAGACCCTTCAGAGTGCACTTTTGAAAGGTAAGAACTTATTATAAAAACTAGTAGTTTCTTGTGTTTACTCCATATGTGAAGTGGAGAAAAACTGAGGAAGACTAGGTAACTATTAGCTTTCTTGCTGCATGTTATGCTAGTCTTGTGTTTCTGAACAATGCTGAGAAATATGCTGTTAGGTGATTTTGTTTGTGTGAACATCACAGAGGACTCACACAACAAAGATGGCTGAGACACTGCCATGTGATGTGGTGTCATGGGACCCTCACCATCTAGGTGCAAGCTGATGATCCCAGTGTTTTCTTGTGGTGCAGAACTCAACTGCTAACTCAGTGGGTTGAAATGGCACATATTTATTATCTCACATTTTTCTTGGTCAGGAGTCCAGGATGGTTTAATGGAGCTCTTTAGGTTCTCAGAAGGCTGCAGTTAAGGTATTGACTGGGGTTGAAGTCTCATCTGAGGTTTGGGGTATTTATTGTGTGTGTGTGTGTGTGCACATGTGCGTGTGTGTGTATTACTACAGATAGAATCCAGATGTGCTTTACCACTAAGCTGCATTCCCTTTAAACTTTTTTTTTTTTTACTTTGAGATAGGGTCTTGCTAAGTTGTCTAGGCTGGACATGAACTTGTGATCCTCCTCTTAAGGTTCCCAAGTAGCTGGGATCACAGATGAGTGCACCACAGCTAGCTCCCCTGGTTGCTGGTAGGATTCAATTCCTGTGGTTGTAGGGCTGAGGTCACCCACAGACCCCTGCAATGTATCCATCCTGATAACCCTCTCACAACCTGCAGTTTGCTTCTTTAAACCAGCGAGGGAGAGAAGACACCTGTGATGTCAGGGAGGGCATGAGCGCTTTTAAGACCTGCCACCTGATCAACCAGGCTCATACAGGGTAATCATTCTCTTTATTAGGTAAAAACACTGATTTAGGACTTTAACCACATGTGCAGAATTATTCAGTTTTATCGTATTCTATTGGCTGGAAGTCACAGTTCCCTTATACTGAAAGGGTGGAGACAATATAAAGGCATCAACAATAACCAAGAAGGAAAACAATACCAGGACTTCCACCCTATTATTATTTAAGTGCAAGAGTTGATATATTAGCTTTCCATCACTGTGTTGAAATACCCAAGATAAATAACTTAAAGCAGGAAAATGTATTTTGGCTCATGGTTTCAGAGGTTTTAGCCTGTGATTCACCCACTGACTCCGTTTTTAAAGTCTGTGGCAAGGCAGAAGCTCCCTGTGGGAGACTGTGGTGGAGGAAAGCTGCTCACCTCAAGGCAGCCAGGAAGCAGAGAGTGAGGGGAAGGGGAAGGCACACCCGCCATAGCACTCCAGAGATCTGCTTCCTGCAGCCGAGCCCCAGCTCCCGGGGGTCTCCCCAACTCCCTATAGCACCATCCAGCTAGAATCAAGCCTTTCACATGAGCTTTTGGAGGCCATTTAGATCCAACCCATAATAGCTGGCACACTTCTGTAAGGGGTTGGATAATAAATATTTTAGGCATTTGTGGGACAGATGGTCTCAGTTGCAATGGTTGGACTCTGCTGCAGTAGCAGGGAAAACAGCCACAGAAAGCATGTAGATAAACAGGCATGGCTGTGTGTCAACAGAGCCACAGATGGTGGTCGCCTTCTGATGGGGTTATGTCCTGACTAACCCTCCGGTAAACTCTTCTGTAAGTTGAAAACACAGTGAGTCCAAAGCAAATTTAATACACCTAGCTTCCAGAAATCATAGTGTACCCTGGCCCAGCTTGAACATGCTTAGAAAACTGGCACTAGCCTGTAGTTGGGCAAAGCTGTCTCACACAAAACATGTTTTACGGTAAAGTGCTGAAAACTTCATGTAATTTATCGAATCTTGTACTGAAAGTTAAGAACAGAATGGTTGTCTGCACACGATCTGCACCATCTTCAACTAGAAAAATCATTTAACCCAAGCCAACATGTGTGGGAGCCACGTGTAATTATGAAAACAGGGAGTGGGCCCGTTCAGTCAGTGGCCCCTAGTTTGTGGCCCCTTGAGTTAGCGTATACGATAGTGTAAAATACTTTTCTCTTTTTAAAAACACAGCCGCAGCCAGCTGTGGTGTTACGTTCCTGTAATCTCAGCACTCTGGGAGGCTAAGGCTGGAGGATCACAAGCTTAAGACCAGCCTGGGGAGCTCAGTGACTTAGCGAGAACTTGTCTTAAAAAATTAAAAGGGTTGAGGATGTAGTTTGGTGCAAGTATCACAAAAAGAAAAACACAAATACCTACAGACAATGCCTCTGATTATGATATTGTTTTGTAACCTACTGGGTTGACCTTAAGTCTTATGGGCAATATATAAAAGAAGGACCTGAAGATCTATTAATGTATTTCTAATAGAGTTGCTTTCTCTCAGTAATCAGTGACATAAAGCTCCATGTGAAGAACTTTCTTTGGAATTTAGTGCCAATAAAAGTTCTGCTTTCTGTGGTGAATGGATATTTTTCCTTTCACAAAAGTTATATAACCCACCATCTTACCTCTCATGCTTTGGCTTTCAGGAAGTTCAAAATCTAACATGAAGCCTAATTTTATAACTATGTTGTACTTACCTGCCCAGGCATGATATGTTAGCCTTATTTTGATTTTCTGCGTTTCTCTAATTTACTGTTATTTTATTGTGTCAACTCTTTTGTGGGATAACATTGGGTAAAAATATGAGTTCTTGTTCACTGAAGTGAAGGAACCACTGAGTTTGTTTTCATGATAGCCCAAATATCCATCAAGGGAGAATTAGTGAATCATGGTTTAATCAGGTGATAAAATTTTACGCAGCAACCAAAAGATCAAACTATTGATACATACCACAATATGGAAGAAGCTCATCAGTATTGTACTGAGCCGACAAAGCCAGGCACAAAATATTTGGGGACTGTGTGATTCTGTTTTTATTCAGTCCAAGGGCAGGTAAAATGAATTGAAGGTGAAGGAAGTCAGAAAGCAATGGCACTTCCTGGGCAGTTTCAAGACAAATCTTGTGGGCTTAGCAATATCCTATGTCACTCACTGAGCTCTATTGAGTGTCTATGTATCAGTGATCAAAATATATGTAAATGCTTAAATTAAAAAAACATACAGTAAAAGACACATTTTCATTAATTCCCCTCAAAGTATTCTTCCCTATGTAGATTACTCTTATCTCATCATTCTTGCCTTTTCTAAAACACTCTGGAAGTCTTTTGTGTCTTCAGTTGTGTTGTTGTAGCTGCCTCAACGTCATAAATTAATTTAAAACATTTACCTCTCAGGCTTATTTTGACTTTAGGGAAGAGCCAGAAGTCATACTGTGCCAGATCCTGTGAATAAGGTTGGTGACACACCCTGGAATGTGTTTATGAGCCTGCCTTTCTCTTGGGTGGGACTTAGCAGCAGCATTCATTGTATTTTTTTTAAACCACGCCTTGTAAAGACACTCACAAATTCAGAATTGCTTCAGAGTGGCAAGAATGATGGGATAAACATTCTCAAAATAAGAAGGAGTATTTTGAGGGGGATTAATGGCAATGTGTCTTTTTCTGTAATAAAGTTTTAAGAATGTAAACACTCATTGTACATTGTGATCATCCCTTTTATATGTAAAACATCACTGAAGCACAGACTTGGGCTTAGTACGCTTTATGTACTTTACTATATGTGTGTATTCATTTTCTGTTACAGTAATACAATACATGAGATAATCAACTTAGAAAGGGTAAAAGTTTATTTTGGATTATAGTTTTGGAAGTTTAAGTCCATGGTCAGTTGGTCCTATTGCTCTGGGCTTGTGCTGGCATAGTGCGTCCTGGCAGAGGGAGCCACTCACCCCCTGGTGGCTGGAAAGTGAGAAGGAGAGAGCAGCAGCAGAGATCACGGCCCTTCAGTCCCTTTTGAGGGCAATGACCTAAAACTTCCTCTAGGTCCCACATCTTTATTTTATGTTCCTGGGGATTGAACTTAGAGCCTTTGCACTGAGCCATATTCACTGCCCCTCCATTTTTGTTTTGATACAGGATCTCAGTAAGCTGCCATGTCTGAAAGTTCTACTATATTCCACTAACACTAGGGGCTGAGAACTGAGCTTCTCACACATGGGCCCTTGGGGGATACTTCTTCAAGCCACAGCACCATGTAGATACCCTTCCCCTAAAAAGGTGAACTACTAAAGGTAAACTTCTTGCTTCTTCTCTTCTTTACATGTCTACTGGAAAAGGACTTTGAAATGAATGTTCTCAAAAGTATGGCACTTTTGAAATTGTAGTTTTCAGGTTAGTAGCAATTGTGTACTTTTATTACATCACTTCTCGTAAATGGATAGCTGAACATATATGTAAAGACAGATTGTCAACCACAAGGGAAGAGTCATATCTATGACTATCCTATCCTTCACTTCATAAAGTGAATGGGAACTAGAGTCCAGTGCTGAGGCCACTTGCTAAGCTCAGCACCTGACAGCAGAGTCCACCCATAGGGCCACCTTTCCTGACCTTTACAAATAGACCTGTTCTAATTTATACTGAAAGGCACAGGTCAGGAGTGGCCTTACACAAATTTGATATTAATTTTTAGGACTAAGAGTATGTCTGGTGACCATTAAAATGTAAGCCAGTCTCTGCCTGGATCTTTGCAACATAAAGAATGCTTTGTAAGATAGAATGAGAGAATCAATGTCATCTTTCTCCCTATTTCATATGTGCATTGTACTTATGGATGTTAAGAATATAACCTCTAGCTGGCTACTAATGGCTTAATGGGGCAGAGCCATTTGGAGTTGGGAAAGAATGAGTTCTTGCTGACCTAAGAGACCCACACTTTTAGCAGGGGCACAGATGAAAGATAAAACTCATCTGACCTTCAAAAGGTCAAGGCAGCCATCATGCAGAGACAGCGTATGAGTGAAAGGCAGGAGGACATACCTAATGGAATATATCTTAACACCAACATCTAGGAAAAGGAGCAATAGCAAAACCCAAAAGCAGATTGAAATCTAAAAAGACACTTTGCATTTTTATAGATACATATTTCAGGTTACATTACCAACCAGATAAATAGAGATCATCAAGACTGATCTCTTCCCCACAACTGTAAAATTAAAACTAAACTAAAATGAAATATTCATACCTGCCAGACTGATGGTCCATTTGTACGGGCCTGTTCTCATTTAATACGTGATCAACTGGAATTGTAAATGGGTGTGAAGTTTACTGAATCATAAAAAAGTGCATCTAGAAATGATAATGAAAACACACACTCCTAAACAGTATGTTTTCTAAGTCTAATTAATGATTGTCCTTGTCACTAAGGCTTTAGGTTAAGAAGAAAGAACCTAGAACCTATTTTCTGAATACTTCAGATATATTTGAGTAAACTTTACATCTAAACATACTTTTCTAGAGTAATCACTGGTATTGTTCATACGACTCTTGTAGAGAGAGTTACTTTGCAGGATTGTTAACTCAGTTCTTGGATTAAGGGAGAAATTAGTCTCTTTAAAATTATAGATATTAGAACCACTGTTTTTTCTCCAGCAAAACAATCTGAACACACTCTTGATAACTGAGAACCTGTTAGACTTTTGTTCCTTAAAATCACCCTTGGATTCATTGATAAACTCTTATCTTGGTCGTTTCTTTTGGTTGAGAGTAATAGGAACTTACCTCAAATTGGCATAAGCAGAAAAAGTAACTTACCAGAATGATGTGAGCCAGGAGTTCCTGATTCCTGTGTGAGGCCTCTGGGATAGAGACTTGACTGGTCCAGTGGGCCTGGTGTCTATCCCTGAGCCCATTGCTATGGCTGTGAGGTACAGCCACATGGTCTTAGCATAGTTACAGGGTTCACTGGTGGCAGGGCTAATTTTCTGCACAACAGGCATGGGAAGTGCAGGGAAATCAGTTTCCAGAGGTGTTCACTGTGATACTAACAAGTTCACATTGCTCACACTTCAGCCTCCCTGTGAAGATCACAGCCATATCAAGTGGTGGGGTATCTCTATTGGTTTATGACTCTTCTTTTCAAAAGGAAAAAAATAGTGTTTTATTAACTGCCACACTGTTATAATACACTTTAAACGTACAATAAGATAGCCTTTAAATTCGAAGTGGTCTTAAAGATAACAAATGAACATAATTCCAAATTTTTGAAATAAGTGAACTGCTGCAGTTACAGGTATACATTTAAGAAAATTGTATGGCTCTTACAAGAGCAGCAATGTAACTTTATTTTGTACATTTGGCTTGTGACTCTTGGAAGCAATGTCAGGAGCAGTTTTCAGTGTCCAGGCTTCCTGGTAATTTCATTGGTTTTTCAGTGCAGGAGTCCAGGCTTAGGTTCACACATGGTGGGGTTATTGGGCAGGAAGTCATGGTGCCGGAGTAGATGGAAAATCTCAGCTGAAACCCCTTTTGATTTCTGAGAGCATTTGCTTTTCTTTGTCTATATGCCCATCTCTATCTGAAAATAATTTTCTTCCTTAAATTCTAAATCTTGTAAGGAAATGGTATGATTTTGCATTCATATCTGAATTTAAGCTTCTTTGTGGGCTTGAGTCTTTTAAAAAAATCTTAAGTTGAGTAGGGAGCTAACATGGCTCTTGAGAATGAACTGCTAGGATTTATCCCAGCTGACTAGTGCTCTGAGTGATATCAAGAACTAAGAAAGCTTGATCCTAACAATGATATCCATAAGGACTTTAAAAATATTCATAATTATGGTTTATTTTGTTGAGCTCCCAGTGCAAGATTGTTTTGACATGTAGAGTTTAGCTTTCTAAACCCTTAGCCTGTACTTTTAGGTCTTGAATGGAACCAAGATTTCTACAACACTTTCACTTGCTTTACTCTGGTTCACATGCTTAAGACTCAGCTAGCACTGGTTCACGCTAACCTTTGTTCAGTTCCTATGGTCAGTCAGGCATGGTTCTGAAAGCAAAATGAACAGGGAGTCCTTGTCTTAAAAGACTCCTGTGGGAGTTGAATATGTGTCTTAGCTTGTCTAGGATGCTGTGATAAAAGTCAATAAATTTGGCAGTTAGAAATGATAGAAACTTATTTCTCACAGTTCTGAAGTCTGAGAAGACCAAGATCAAAACACCAGCAGATTTGGTGAGAGTCTCTTTTCTGGCTCATAAAGAGTATCTTCTTGCTGTGTCCTCATTGGTGGGAAAGATAATGGTCTCTTTCAGGGGGTTCTTTTATGAAGACACTAATCTCATTCACAATGACTTTGCTTTCATGACGAATCACCTTCCGAAGACCTCACCTTCCAACTTTGTCACGTTGGGGGTTAGGATTTCAACATCTGAATTTTTTTGGTATAAACATTCAGATCACAGTAATATATAAACACACAATTTTCCTGTATGATGAGAAGACTAGTATGGCAGAACACTGAGGTTTAGACAAGTAGTACAGGGAATGAGGGTGCATTTGGCAGGGGAGGTCATGAAAGGTAGTCATGGTGAATAGGACACCACCTTTTCTCTTTCCCATCTCAATCTGTAATCAGGGTTGTGATTCCATCTCACCTTCTTCATCTGGTAATTGTGTTGAGCTTAGCCCTGGAAACTGTTTCTTGTGGCTTGCTATTAAGAGGCCTTTGGTATCAGTGTCACAGCAGGCACACAGGCAGGAACACTGCTGTCCATGGTGCTGGCTCGGAACCCCATACTTTCCCGTGTGTTTTCTAGATGGGGTGAGATGAGTTGTTCAGGCTCAGCTCACTCCACTCAACTGAGTGGACAAATGAAAACAAAGAAAGCAGCACACAATGTAACGTAGTACAATGCCCCCTCTAAACTCAGAACAAGTCTGTCAGGAGTCAGTCATAGCTGTGATGAGCCCTGATGGTAGTTTTATACCTAACAAAGACGAGTGCAGCCAGAATAATTGAAGCTTGAGGTACCAGGAGTGTTGCTGCACTTGTGGGGCAGAGCTACAGGATGGATCAGAGCAGAGCACCCTTCTGAGTTCTGAGTTCATATAACGGATCTGATGAAACTCCAAAGTTGGCATTTAGGAAGGAACAATGGCAGCAGCAAAGATGAGCAAACATAAAAGGCAATTTATATTCAAGTAATTTGGAAAATTTCTTGGGCACCTCCTAGCCTTATGTGAGCCTTAGAGAGAGGAGAATACTGTAAGTGCTTGTGTTTAGACCTGTGATTATCCAATCCCCATGAACAAGGCTAACGATAGAAGAAAGTCCCACTTTCAGGACTCACACTAAACATGCAGTTCAGAGGGAGTTCCTAGCCCCATTGGTTTTGATGCCCTTATCTTTAAATGGGGAGGATAATTACGAAAAAATAAAGGTAATATATGCAAAGTGCTGAATACAGAACTTAGGAACACAGTAGATGCTCAAACCTGGTAGTGACCATTTTTTACATCATCAAACAAAAACTGACAGCTGTCTAACTCAGTACTAGTCTTGGACCTTTGCTAAATGGTGAATTGTTACTAGTTCCCAATTACATAATCCTGAAATGGAGAGAGACTTTATAATTTTGATAATTTAAGAGTAATTTTATGTCTTTTGAATCTAGCGATGAAATGACTGGTCTTGTAAATTGTTCTATTTGTGTTTTTAACAAAAGTTTTACTTTTTGGTCATTAATCGTTTTAGTGTTTATAGAAATCTAGTTCTGCAAGTGTTTGGAGATGTAGGAAACTCATCTTTTCCTACTGTCTTAGTCACCCTCCTCCCCAGCACCTACAACTTGTAGGAAGAGAGGCTGATTTTTGGTCTATGGTTAGGGAAACCCTTCCAGGTCACACCCCCAGTGACCTGCTTCTTCCCACCAGACCCCTCTCCTAACAGCAAGTCAGCTATACCCCCCCTCCCATGGTACAATTATCCTCCAAAAGCCCCAGCTTCAAGAGCGTGAGACTCCTGGGAGACAGCTAGGTATAAACCATAAGTCTACTGATGGTTTGAGAAGCACCAGCCTCCCTCATTCATTCCCTATGAGCTAACTTACTGAAATTCCAGCCCTGCCAAGGCTTCCTAAGTCATTTAGGGAACTGATGGAGTACCTCAGGTGTGCTCACAAGCGCTCCTCTTAGTCATCTCCTACCTCTCCCTGCACTGTGCTGTTATTCTTTCTCCTGATTAGCTGTGCTTGCCCTTGTTAGCTGCTGCAGCTCTTCTGTCCTGCCCTGACTGTCACCAGGTAAAAGTTCTCCTCATCCTTGAGATTCTGTGATTTGCTCTTTAAATATAACTTTTTTGTGCTTTCCATGTTGAAGCTCCTAGGGGTAAAGTTTTAAGCCAGTTCATTATAGTTGCCCTCAGCTTGGGAAACTTTACAAGTTTCCTAGGCTATAGACCAGGAAGAATTCAACTTCTAGCATGTTTTACAGAACTCAAAACTATCCTCCTTGCTCCCCTTCCAGCTTGACTACCATAGTTTTTCTCCCTCCATGTATACTTTTCTTCCCCATTTGGATCACTGCCTTCTACACTGTGTAGTGGTCATCTCTTTCCAACAACTGGTGTGTGGGGGCCCTGCTCCTGGACTCCAGCTACCAGTCTTGGCACTGCCAAAAATCACCTTTCTTATAACTCAGCCAGTCATGCCATGCTCCAACAAGTCCAAGCTGACTCTGTTTCTCATTGATGATCAGCTGAGCAATTGTATTTTAACTGTAAAGATAGGTGATTAGAGTACAAAGTTAGGGCTGGGATCATTCTGGGGACTCTCTAAACACACCACCCCATGCTGTTTATCTCTAGGTATAAATGATAGCAAGGATGCACTCAGTTTTTCACACTTCCCTTTATCTAAGTCCTTTGGTGGTGACTTATGCTGAATCTAGGATTGGGGATGAGACTTAGATAATGGACAAAACAAACTTAGCACAAATAGAGGCTTGAAGAAGCACATGTTATTTCTTTATTTCTTCTTTCTTGGACCCTGCTGCTGCCATGAGAAGTATCCCAGGCTAGCCTGCTAGGTGATGTGAACAATTTGTGAGAAGTGCCATGTCACTCCAGCCAAGACTGTCTTAACCCAGCTACCCTCTCTGACTCTCAGACAGCCCCAGCTGCATGAGCCAAGGCCAGTCAACCAATAGGCTCTTAGAAACAACAAGTGATGTTATTTTAGCCAAGGAACTTTGAGGAAATGTTTTCAGCCATTACATTTTCGGAACAGTTTTACACAACAACAGCCAACTAACAGGCTAGGTATTTTTATTCAAGTGAAATTAAGTTAAAACAGTTACTCATTAAGAAAAAGAAAAGTGACATGTGGGAAGTGGAAGGGTCAAAACTCTTTACTCAGAGGATGGATTTCTCTTGAGGGCATTGGTAAGGATTGATGGATTTTGTCCATACAGACTTGAGGGATTTACACATGTTTGAAGTAAACTTTTCTCTGTCATCATCTGTTGTTTCTCCAGGTTCCTGTTTTGGGGAGCCTGTGTCCCCCTGTCAGAGGATGAAATTGTGAGAAGAGTAATAAGACTTTGCTGTGTTGGAAGGGCTCCCTGGAAGAGAAGGGAGAGCAAAGAAAATTTCTTAGAAGAAAGGGTGAATTTTCTCCAATAAAAATGTTGTATTTTCTCCTGAGGTGTCTGTGCTGGGGTTGATATCTCATCCTTAGGATTATTTCATGTTTTCAAATCTTGCCTTTTTATATAGAGGAGTGATTTTAAATTAAAATGACTCTCATTTCATTCTCCTCTAGTGACTTAAAGTTATTTCCTCATTGAGGGAGTTGAATGACCCACAGTGACAAATATGGAATTTGGGAGCGAGGCAGAGGGTTGCATGAAAATGTGTTAAGGACTCTCACTACTGTCTGAGTGTAATACTAGAAAAGTAAGCAATTTAGTTTGGTGGAAATTGAAATTCTTAGGATAATACTGAGAATATCTAATGAGGATGTGAACCTATCTGTGAGATGTGAGAAGACCAAATAGAATTAACACCAAGAACACACACAAATATAGCTGAGATCATAATTGGTCATTATATAATTAAGATGTCAAACCATCTGTAACAGGAAGAAAAAGAGAAATACACTCAGGCTAATGTTTATGATATCACAACACTTTCAGAGTTACTTTCCTATCTTACACACTGACTGAGTAGCAGAGTTCTGTACTTCCTTAAGAAAATTTTTGTCTTATTTACTTCTTTAATTGCTGAGACAATATACCTGACACCCAAAGTTAAAGGAGGAGTTAATTTGATGCACAGTTTGTAGAGGTTTCTGTTCATAGTTGGCTGGCTCCAAGGCAGGGTGGCATGACAGAGGGGTATCACAGAGGAGAAACAGTTCATGGTGGGAAGAAGGCAACAAGCAAGTGACAAGCAACCCTCTTTCTGACCCTTATATTTTACCTCACACTGTAAATCCTAGTATCACACCATGAATCAAACACCCTAGATCCAGCCACCTCAGAAAAGCACTGCCTATGACCACATGAGACTTTGGGGGGATATCTAGATACAAGCCATAATGATGCCTAATATTTGATTCCCTATTATTTCCTTTATTTTCTGTTGTTAGCTGTATTTTCATTGAAAACAATGTTATTTTATCCACTTATATACTAACAAATATGACAGAGTCTTCTTCAAATCTGTGGATTTATGTCAAATTAATGAAAAAGCAGCCAGTGGCTGGCATCTAATTCCTATATTTCCTGTTCAGAATACAGTGTAATTATAAGTAAATGTTCATAATTCATTGATTAAATTTATCACAGTAAATCGCCCCATTTGTATGAAGAAGTTCCTTTTAAAGTTGATGCTAGAATTTTTCAGCAGTTTTAAAGATTTCATCTCTTTTCTTAATGTAGTTTGTTGATCTTAGCTAAAATGGCTGTAGTCTTTCAAAATATATCATTGAAATGATAAATATTGAATGATCCTTTTTTTGAAGGTATATTAAATTCTGTATGTGCTATTACTTTTAGATCAATAACCTAACAAATATTGAATGCAGGGCACTGTGCCAGATTCCACATGGAAGTCTGAAGGCAGATGCCAGTTTATGGGTATGGTTGCACATAAATAATTTATTTCTAATTTTTGTTTTTGATGTTTTAAGTTATTATTTTTAATGTGGTGTTGCTCATAGGTATTACTTGTGCATGGTGCAAAATTCCATAGATACAAAAGGGAAAAGATGAAAGGAAAACAAATTTGCTCTCCTTATCCACTAAATAGCCAGTAACTGGAGGGAGATATTCTAACCTCCCAGTATAGTCCAGGCATTTAAAAATTCATATGTTCTTACTTTTATAAAAATGTTATCATACCTCATATGTTGTTCTGCACCTACCTTTTTAAAACTTAAGATATCTTGAAGATCTTTCTATAACTTAATGAGTGTGTGTGTATCTTCCTAACAATGAAAACAGCTTGTTGCATGCAGATGTGACTCTTGGTTTAACCAGCCCTTTAGTGGTGGCATTTAGGTTGTTTTCAGCCTTTTGCTATTGCTAACAAGGTTGCCAGGGTTTGGCCATGAACAAAACTTATCTTATTTTATATACAATGGAATACAAACTGCATCTAAACTTCTCCAAAATTTTCACAGAGAAAACACTGGAGCAAGTCAGAATCTCTTTTCATATTTGCTTTTAAAAACTTAATCTCAGTTTTCCTAGAAATAAATATTTAATTGAATTATTCTTTGTTCTCTTAATCACAGTGTTTTAGTAGGAAAACACTATGATGATAGAAAAGACACCTTTCCTCCTTCTTTCTTTACTCCTTCCTTCTGTCTTTCCTTCCTCTCTTCCTCCCTCCTTCCCTCCTTCCCTCCTTTCTTTCTTTCTTTCTTTCTTTCCTTCCTTCCTTCCTTCCTTCCTTCCTTCCTTCCTTCCTTCCTTCCTTCCTTCCTTTCTTGACAGAGTCTCACTATGTACCTCAGGCTAGCCTCAAACTTGCAATATTTCTGCTTCAGCCTCCTGAGTGCTGGTATTACAGGTGTGTACCAGCCATGCTTGGATAAAACACCTTTCTGTGCATAGGCAAAATCACACTGAATAAAGAGTAAGTCTTGTTTTTAATGTCTCACCTACATTCTCTCTTGAGTATTTCATTTTCTAAAATCTATATTTAATAACAAAAATCACCATAGCCAAATATATATCAATGCTGGTGATTGTCAAGACTTCTTATTCTATCTTTAAACAAACTCAGCCTGGTGAATGGTTTTTGAAAAATATACCACTTTAGCCAAAATTGAGCTGAAGATCACTAAGGATTTTGCCGAGAAGGTATTAATAATTGTCAGTCGAAAAGTCTCAGGAATTCTCATGATAAGTGAAAACTCAAGGATTTTTCTTTCTGTTTTTCAAACCACTTTTCCTGGTGTTCTTTTAAAAAAATCAAATCACATCTTATGTGAGCATTGGGTCTCTTTCTACGTGGGTGACAGTGGCAGGGCTAGGAAGTAGGCACCCTGTTATAACCGCAGCAATGACCCAGGAGGTTCTTGTGCCCTGTGACAACTGAAAACAGAGTGCAGGACCCCTAACTGCAGCACACAGATGATCCCCAAAGGTGGAGCAAAGCTGCAGTGTTCTGTGTAGCAGAAGCACCATCAAGTTGGGAATCATTTCCTCCTTTAACATACACATATTTATATTAGCCCTTTCCATATTCTGAGACAAAGAAAGGTTAATATAAAAGTAATAAGACTCTCTAGTTTTTGATATAAGCAATCTGAGTCTCTATTTTTTTGGTACCAGGGATCAAACTTGGGTCCTTTTGCTTGCGAAGCAGGCGCTGGAACCACTGAGCTAAATCCCCAGCCCTGAGTCTCATTTTTGACAGTTGGAGCTCAAGTTCTCATAGTTTTCTGATTTGTCCTTGCCTCCACCTCCAGCAGAGAATGACTTTACCTGTTGACTCCTCACCCAAAACTGCTCAGTAGGGTCCTCTGAAGAGAGGAGTATGAGGGCTGGAATATACATCTCTACAACGGGCTAGACTCCAGATGTACACTCTTGAAAAATTATGTCAGTTTTAGAGTATATGACAGCACTCTGATGAAGTGTAGCTCAGTGGGGACTGTTTGCCTCACATATGTGTGACCCTGGGTTCCATCCCCAGAACCATGAGCAAAAAGAGTTCCATGAAGGTGAAGAAACAAGAAGTAAACTCTAGAAGTGCAAAGTCACCCTTCTGATTAAGCCCATGTTCTGAATGCAGAAAAAAGCATGGGCTGATGGTAATTACCCAAAAGCTTGTCATAGTTGGGCCCCAGGACCTGTTGTGGTTTTGGGGGCTAAAGGAAGCTGCTCCCCATTCCCAGCACCTAGGACAGTACCTGGACCACAGTAGGTGCTACTGACTTCTGAGTGAATAGTTGTCTGTCTTGTTTTATTACTTTTTTCCTTTAATTATTCAATCAGCCACTTGGTCCAATGGATGGGCCATCCATTTTTCTTCCTCTATTACCATTACCATGGTGGTAACTTCTGACCCTACTTCTATACTAGTTCTTTCAATCAAGTGTTAGTCCTATATCTTCAGCTGCTTACCAGGGATTCTGATGATGATACTTTTCTGTTGCCTCAAACTTGACATACTCAAAGGAACCCTTCCTTCTCCAAATCAAGTAGGTTTCCATTGATGTCAAATCTCTGTCATTGTTCTCCCATTGCTAAATTTTGAAAATGGATCTTGGAGTCCAACCAGTACTGCATCATATCCCTGGAATCACTTACTATTTATCTTTCCTTCTATGTGTTCTTATAAGTGTCCTAGATATGTCTCTCATTTCCTTGCTCCACAGTTCTTGCCATAGCACTTCCTTTGGTCTTTCCTGCTACATCAATGCCAAATTTACTTTCTTCAGTGTTTAGGTCAGAATACTTATCTGGTCAGAATCCATCAATGCCATTGTTCTACAACATGAATTGACTTTTTACGATGGCTTTCAAGATTCCCCTTATAACATTTCTCCAAATTATAAATGCCTACAGAGATGTGCAAAGACCACTAGGGAATGTCTATCATTGGACACATGTCTGTCAGTGTTTGCCTCAGGCACCATCTGGGTTCTGGTCCTGGCAGGAAACTGAGAACTAAGGGACTGACCTTGAGGCTAGAACCAGTACTCAGGAGAAATCTTGTCTGTGTCAGGGAGAGAGTTCCTAGAGAAGGGCTTGACTTGTGAGGCTTCTAGTGTTGTCCTCAGGAGACGGAGTACAGTGTGCATTGTCCTCCTGTGAAGTGGACAATCCAGTTATTCAAGGAACGCTTTCCTAACAGTTAGCACTTTCAGAAACAGGCTGTGCATTGCTTTGGAAAGGACCAGGTTCACCATACCTGGATATACTGAAACATATAAATGTGGCCAGGGCCATACCAGGTGGACATGCACACTTCTATGATCCTCTAAGCACTGACTCTCCAGTCCTGTATGTTTTTATACACTTATATCCCAGGTCACAAAATTTGTACTTACCATTATAATGATTTGTATTTATTTAGTTTTGCACCATGCCGTAGTCCTTGAAACTTGTGAATATATTCCTCTACTTGGGAAGAGAGATTGTACAAATGTGATTAAGTTTGGAACCCTGAGATGAAGGATTGCCTGGATTATCTAGAATAATCACAGAAACCTCTACAAGAGGGAGGCAAGAGGGTCAGAGTTGACCTGAAGTCAGAGTTGAGCTGAGGTTGAAGTGCTGCCCTTTGGAGAAGGAGAAAGGGATCATGATCCAGGAGATGAAGTGGCTTCTCACCATGGGATAATGTAAGGATTCCCCTTTGGAGCCTCCGAAGGAAAAGGCAGCTTAAACAACACCTGAATTCTATTGTGTAAGAAACTTTTCAGACATTTGACCAGCAGGACTAAGAGATAAAAAATTTGTATGGTCTTAAGCAATGAAGTAATTTATTTCAGCAGTTGTAGGAAACTAGTAGAAGTCCTGAGTTGTCTTCTAGATCCTTTATTTTATGTATGTTTATTTCAAGTCTTTAAATATGTAGAATAAAAAACCCAGGAGGTAGGGGCTACTTCCTAAGAGTTAACCATCCATTATTGTAGCAGACATTTACAGGAACTTGATGATTACTGTTGATTTTCTAAAGCATCTGGGGAAAGCAGAGCAACCACAGCGACCATCATGACTTATCTGGAGCCTAGAAGCAACATGAGCAGTGGAGGGCTTTTCCAGACACCTCTTGTTGGTCTCCCATTATTGGCAAAACTCTCCATCTTTCATTTCTGAATTGCTCCAGGGCCTTGTGCTGAGATTCCTTTCTGTCTTTTTCTCTAAGCTCAGTCTTGTTGCTCACAGGCAGGTTCCTGAGGCTCTGGTTGGATGTGGAAAGTACAGTGCTAAGTTGTCCCAGCTACACGTGTGGCTCTGGCATTTATTCTGATGGCTAGGCTTTTGCCTTCATGTTATAATAAAAATACTTTGTCTTTGTATCTATCTGATTTCCAGCACAGAGGCCCTAAAAGCCTTGGAATAGGCTGAGTGATGAGAGACTCTTGGCAGATGGGCAATTAAACAGCTGCAGGAGGGACTGGAGGCTGGAGCGCCCAGACCTTGGCTAGGAACTACCAGTCCTATCATCAGTCTGCTGCCAAGGAACTGAGGCTCAACACTGTGTCAGTCACCAATGGCCATGGTCATGCCTGGGCAATGAAACCTGCCTCGAAACCCCCACAAGACGATTGGAGTTTCAGAAGGTTCTGAGTGGGTAAACATATCTATGTGCTGGGACAGTGGTGTACCCTAATGGTACGGAGACAGAAGCCCCTCTACTGGCAACCCTTCTGAGCCTTCATATACCCCTTCATCGGGATGCTTACTTGTATATTGTATAATAAACTGTAATATTAGGTATAGCATTTCCTTAAATTTTGTGAGTCATTCCTGCATATTATCAAAATCAAAGGCGAGGTTGTGGGGAACTCCTAACTTCATACCCCAGTCAGACAGAACTATGGGTGTGTAACCTAGAGACAGGAGAACTGAGACTTACAGTCCTTAAACCCATGCAGTTTGCACTAACTCTGGGTAGTTAGAGTCTGAATTGAATTGAATTGTAGCATATCTAGTTGGTGTCAGAGAATTAGTTTGCTGGAGCAAATATCCTACCAGCTTTTATCTCTAGAGTTGACTCCATCCTGACCCCTGTTTGGCAGCTCCACATTTTCACCTGTCTGGGTTTGGTGAACTTGCCCTATTGCAACCCCTGTATATGCAGGCTCCTCCTTTGTTCCTGTTGAGCCTCCCAGGACCTGCAGTCTTAGATCTGGCCATCAGCCTGGTGGCACCCATAAGCCTAATTCCTGGTTGATTTCAAGCACTGTCTACTGTCCTATTTCCTACTGTTGTCCTCTGTCCACATCCCTAGAATGCCTTTTCCCACTATGAGAACTACTTGGTGTTGCTTTTTTTTTTTTGGTACCAGGGATCGAACTTGGGACCTTGCGCTTGTGAGGCAGGCACTGGAACCACGGAGCTAAATCCCTGGCCCCTGGTGTTGCTTACTTTGTGGAATAGCTACGCCATGTGCTTAGACAGCATGCCTAGCCTTCCAGAGAGGACCGCTAGAGCCATGGGAGAGGCTATTCCTGAAGCCTGTCCCCCACGGCAAGGTCTGTTCCCGGTTCTGGACTCTCACACCATGTTCCATGGCATCAAGGCCAATGGGGCTGTGCCTACTTGGATTCTGAGAAATGATGCCAGCTGTGGACTTGGCCACCTCGACAACTAATTAAATCAAGCAGTTTAGAGCCAGGGCTTGGCACATGCTTACCACTGAGGATCACAGGGATGTTACCAAAAGCCCGATGCATAGGCAGAAAGGGACAGGAAGTTAGAACAATGAAGAGAATCAGAGATTAAAGCAATGGGACAGTATGGAGCAATGTGTCCATTTAAAGGAATGTCACGGCCCTGAATTCTGGTACTTTCTATGGGAAATATTATACCAGACATTCAACTGAGCAATAGGCTGTCATTAGAACAGGAGCATTGTCTGTGCATCCAGGGGAAAGTGTCCTCAAAAAGCAGAATCAGAGTTGTGCATAGAAGCTAGTGCCCCTTGCAGCACACAGAAAGGAGTAATGAAGAAACCATGGTGCTTGGATTCCAATAAACCCGAGCTTGTTCTTCAGCTCTGCCCCTTCTGGGCTGAGCAACCCTGGGCAAACCACCAAAGTGAATAGGGTGAGTATCCAAAGCCTCAACTTCCTAATTTCCTAAATCCCCATTGGAAACCTCCTAACACCACCAATTTCCCCCTCCCTCCCTCCCTCCCTCCCTCCCTCTCTTTCTTTCTTTCTTTCTTTCTTTCTTTCTTTCTTTCTTTCTTTCTTTCTTTCTTTCTTTCTTTCTTTCTTTCTTTCTTTCCTTCTT